GGGGGCTGGAGTCTATCCCAGCTGACTCAGGGTGAAGGCAGGGGACACCCTGGACAGGTCGCCAGTCTATCACAGGGCTACACTTAGAGACAGACAACCAAGCACACTCACATTCACACCTACGGACAATTTAGAATCACCAATTAACCTCAACATGTTTTTGGACCTTGTGGGAGGAAGCCGGAGAACCCGGAGAGAACCCACGCTGCACGGGGAGAACATACAAACTACACGCAGAAAGATCCCGGTGCCCCCACCGGGACGCGAACTGGCGACCTTCTTGCTGCGAGGCAACAGTGCTAACCAACTGCACCACCTTGCAGCTACCCCACATGTTTTTCTGAATTATGTTCTGTACACAAAAAACAAACACTTTTCATTTAGTGCTATTCATACAACCTACTTGCCAACACAGTACATCAAATATGTAAATGAAAACTGTTTTGTTGAAGATTCAGCTTTAGTAAAATACAGTTTATCAAAGTTGAGAGGTAATAGGTTATTTAGTCACACCTTAGATAACAATGCAGCATGGTTAGACTTGTTAGGTTCATTTGGTAAAGGCAGTTTTGCCAGAAGGCACTTTTGTGGATTTGTCTTCATCGAAAGGTTTCTTGTTTATGTTGCGCACTAGTTTTCATTATTCATGTATTTTGACTTTTTTTTGTTACTGGAAAGTAATTAAGTAACTTTGTTTACAAAAGTTGCCATAAAGTTGTTGTGTTTTTTTTGCAACACTGAACACCGAATTTTTTAAGTAATGTTTTTGTTGTTTTTTTGTTTTTTGTAACACTGAGGCTGTGTCCCAAATCATCCACTCACTCTCAACTCCTACTCCCTATATAGACCTGGAGAGAACCCACGCTGCACGGGGAGAACATGGAAACTCTACAGAGAAAGATCCCGGGCGTCCAAACCGGGATGCGAACTGGCGACCTTCTAGCTGCGAGGTGACGGTGCTAACCACTGATCCACCTTGCATCCCCTCTACCATACATGTGTGTATTAAATAAACAATTTAAATGTATGATTTTAGAATCACCAATTAACCACAACATGTTTTTGGACTTGTGGGAGGAAGCCGGAGAACCCGGAGAGAACCCACGCGGCACGGGGAGAACATGCAAACTCCAAGCAGAAAGATCCTGGTGCCCCCACCGGGACGTGAACCGGCGACCTTGTCGCTGCGAGGCAACAGTACTAATCACTGAACCACCTTGCAGCCCCTCATTAAAAATGCTGCTGCTGCTAAAAAAAAAAAAAAACAACAACAAAAAAAAAACTAACACACACCAAACAGGGAGAGTAAATTACTTCAACTCTTAGGCTACATGTATAGTCTGTAAGTCTCTAAATCTATAAGTGGGGCCAAAGTACACTGGAGATATGTTTGCTGAAGCCTGGTAGAAACTGGCCAGTTAGCGGTGCACAGAGTTCAGAACAGAGAAGGTGAAATGTAGTCATTCTGCTGCCCTCTGCTGGACACTGCTTCCAATAAAACTTAGATTTGTCCCAAATGTAGTCGTTTGTAAGAATAAGCCGAAGATTGTTTTGTTTTTGTTTTTCATTTATTCCAAATAATCTGTGTGGCGTTGTAGTCTGGGTCTAAACTGCCTGTACTTTTATAAAACTAAACTGCACTTTCATTCACTTAATTTTAATTCATTCTATTTTATTGCATACTTTATCTCTTTTTTTTTTTCAGTTTATTTAGTCTGTCAGTTTAAATATCCTAAAAATCTTTGTGCACTTAATTCAACCTGTCTGTACTGTTTTGGATTAATTCAATTATGACTACATGTTTTAATCTTGTATTGACCTTTGTCTGTAAAGCACTCTGATTAAACTCTGTGCACGATAAGGTGCTGTATAGATAAACTTGTTTGATTACTGAAGCAGTTACGATCACCATTATCTGGACAGCTGAGGGTTTTGCACAGACACTCATGCAGAAGTGAAGTTAAAAGTGGCATCATCATTCTAGACATTTAATGCAAAGTAGCTGAACAAAGCCGCAAGACACAGCCTTGAAAATGACAATAAAGCTGAACCTGATAAACTGGACACTTGAATGATTTGAAGAGGATAGCTCCTTTTATCCTCACAGAGACGAATAAACGCCCACAAAACGGTGGAGTTTCTGTTTTTTTCTTCTATGGAGAGGACACAACGCCTCACATGTATTTATAGCTATATCAGCTCCAGAGGGAGGGGTGGCAGGGCAGGAGGCCTGAAACAACCCCGAGTCTGGTCACTGTAGGTCATGTTCATTTTCCTGCTGGGCAAGTGGCAACGTTCAAAAAAACAACGCCATAAAACCAGATAAAAAGAGCTGGCAGGTTTGTCCTTAAAGGCGTCATCTGACAGTTTGCTGCGCATGCGGTTCTCAAGTAAACATACCACCATCTCTTCGTCTTCCTCCTCCTCCTCCTCTTCTTCCTCCTGAAACAGACAGGAGCAAATCAATTACACCATGTAACCCCAGTCATCGCGCACTGATTACCTGTTGTACAAAAAACCTTACAGTAATTGCTATTAAAGATGATTCCGTTTGGATTCCGCTGCATTATTTTTAACCTAGCTTTAGTGTCTTTTTTGAATGAACAGCGATAGGAATATTAACGCAGGCTAATGCTAATATAGCAGTAGCTAGCTAGTGTTAGCTTGCTAGCTAAAGTTACCGAACGTCACTGGCGTTTTAGAGCTGGTTTGAATAAGCAAGAGCTACTAACGTCCTCGGGTTCTCCGTTCATGATCATCTTCTCCTCGAAACCCATGATTTTGATGCTGTTGTGCTGAGCTGACTGGCTGTCAAATCTCGACTGTTGGAGGACACGGCAGGTCACCGGGCGCTGAGCTGCTTCTTCTTCGGCTTCTTTTGGTTTCATGTGGCGGTTGGCGAACCAGCTTAAAGGCGCGCTACCGCCACCTACCGGACTGGAATATAGAACTGCGGATTGGCAGACCGAAGATATAAATTTTTTTATTTTTTTTAAAGAATGAATTCTCGTCATTCATTCTGTCGCTTTTAGGTACTTAATTACGTGAGGAGTTATTTCAAGTGTTGTGACTCTTTTTTGGGCCAGACATCATGGCGGCCCTTTGTTTACTCAGAAGGAAAGATAAGTTTTCCAGCCCACACATAGTGATGCACATATGTACAGGAATAAACCTTTAAACCCACTTGTTGGTTAACAAGTACTACTCAGATGAAAAAAAAACATCTTTAAAACTGTAAAAACTTCGACAGAAAGTAATATTTGGGTTGAAATAAACATTTAAAACCATAACTTGTTAAGTAGAAGGCAGGACTGAAGTGGAATAAAAATTCAAAACTGTGAAACTTGCACAGAAAGTAGCATTTTGACTGAAATAAACACTTAAAACCAGAAGTAGTTCCTTAGAAAGCACTGTCTGTGTAGATAAAAACCTTTAAAACCATAGCTTGTTATGTAGAATGTGTTATTTAGATGGAATAAGCCTTTAAAACTGTACTTTTTTGCATAGAAAGTAAATATTTTTGCTGAATTAACCTTCAAAACCATATGTAGTTCCTTAGAAAATGCTATTTGGGTGGATTAAAATTCAAAAACCATTACTTGTTTGTTAGAAAGTAGTGTTTGGGCGGATTCACAGTGTTAAAAATATACAGACTTGCACAGGGAGTAGTATTTTGGGTAGTATGGACCTTTAAAACCGTAACTGGTTCATTGGAAAGTGCTATTTGTGTGAAATAAACATTTAGACCTTGAGTTCTTGTACAGAATATAATATTTTGAAAAGAACAAACCTTTGAAATCACAACTCGTTCATGAGAAAGTAATATTTGTATGAAATAAAAACTTTTAAAACTAGAAGTACTTGCAAAGAAAGTAATATTTTGAGTCAAATAAACCTTTTAAAGCCTTAATTCATTTGTTAGAAAGCACCATTTGTGGGGAATAAACATTAAACCCATAATTTGTTCCTTAGAAAGTAATATTTGGGTGGAAAAACTTCAGTATTCAGTTCACACGCTGTTTAAATCAAGCAATATGTTTCTTTACATGTTTAATTATGACACATATGATACCATCATGTGTTGAAAAGTAGTATTACTTTAGCAGGAAGGAATTACCAAGTTGAAAAAAGGAGTGAGTGCACCCTGTGGAAAATCATTGAAATATTAAATAAACAAAAATTGCATCACCTTAAAGAGTCTCACGAAATCTAAACTGAACAGCAGGACATCTGCACTAACGGAAATTGAAAGCTAATAGTTGAGAATTACTATAATGCAGACCCAGCAGTAGGAACTCAATGCAACAAAAGTCAGTCAACCTTTCATGTCTGAGATTCAGATCTTTCTTTTTTTTTTTTTAGTAATTTCTAAGTCCAAATGAATTGTTGATGAAAGGTTCAATAATACTCAGTGTGGAAGACATAGTGTCTGCAGAGATGTTCTGTCATTCCTCAGACACGTTTTTCAGCTGTTATTTGCTGGAGAGGTTGTATTGCAAAACCTTTCTCTTTAAAATACTCCAAAGGTTTTTTATTTTTAATTTCACAAAACAAGTTCAGCTGCTCATTTTAAAAACAGACTGTCAGTAGTAACGTTGGCACGTAAGCCTGATATTGGGACAATGATATACTGCACCATAGGTTGTTGTTTTGGAACTTGGAAAAATAACAAAATAGTGGATAGAGTTGATTTTAGGTCGGTTGAACATTGGCTCTTTCTACGATTGCAGTTCACATTAGTCACACAATACAATCATATCTATGTTACCTATGTTTAAGTAAGATTCATTGGTTTAGGGTCATTGGCTAACAGTGTTATACTTCCCCTTTCCAAAAAGAGGTCAGAGTCCAGTGGATACGGTGATTGTGAATATAAAAAACTTTGCCCTCACAGGAGAGAGAGGAGTGATATTAATCCCTCCTTGCAGCAAAACATCAGTCCTCTATCTCACAGGAGAAGCAGACAAACAGTCTTCAGTTAGACAAGCTGTGTTTGCAACATGGATTCAGTCTTATCTCTCATTGGAGCCTATATTGGCTGGGATTTCAAAAGCTTCCTGCTCTTCATGATAGTTTTCATCATCGCTGCTGATTATGTTAAGAACCGTCGGCCGTCTGGCTTCCCTCCAGGACCTTGGGCTCTTCCAATTGTGGGCAACATATTCACTGTTGACTTCACCAGGACCCATGAAACACTGACTCAGGTATCAAGCAATTATACAAATGCTGACAGGTCAACTGGTAAGACTCTTCTTTCTGTTATCTGTTTTCATGTGTCTTGCTCTCCCCTCTTTCCTAAACCCTCACCCAGTTGGCAGGTAAGTATGGAGACGTGTACAGCCTCCGGATGGGCTACAACTGGATTGTTGTATTAAACAGGTCTGCGGTTCTGAAAGAAGCTCTAGTAACGCAGGGAGACAGCATGGCAGACCGACCACAGCTTCCATTACCACTAGAAATGACACACGGACGAGGTAAGAGGACTGAAGATACACACAGACACAAATCATAGTTGTCAGTTCACTGCTATTCTGACTCTTGTGGATGCTCGTGCAGGAAAGCACTGTTGAAGGACACAAACTGATTTTGTTCCCAGTCAGTGCTGTGTTTCTAAATATATTTTTTCAAAGTTTGACAGGTGTCTTTTAGCCTCATGTAAACCTATTAAATTCATCTGACACAACATGTTTATCACATTTTGTACATTTCCCTCCTTTGTGATTATTGTAGGTCTTTTTAAAAAAGTAAACTGATTGGGTATTTCTGAAGTAATTCAATGCTTTGTTTTGTTTTTTGGTTTGTTTTTTGTTTGATTTTTAGCTGTGACAAAGTCCAAAATAGAAATAGAAATCAAATTCTTATGTGAAGTGTTTGCTTCCAGGTATGATTTTCACTAATGGGCACGTGTGGAGGCAGCAGAGGCGATTTGCACTTTCAACCCTCAGATATTTTGGATTTGGAAAGAAGTCACTTGAACCTGTCATCCTGGATGAATTTACACATTGTGCAGAAGAGTTCAGAAGCTTTAAAGGTATACAGTTAACACACAGTGACACAATCATATAACCAAATGTGCAATTTATATATAGTTTTCTATTCAACTGTGAAGGTAAGCCATTCGATCCACACCTCATCATGAACAACGTCGTCTCCAACATCATCTGCTCCCTGGTTTTTGGTCATCGCTTTGAGTACAGTGATGAGAAGTTCCAGAAACTGTTAGGAATGCTTGATGATGAGTTCCAGATTCAAGCCTCCATTTGGGCACAGGTACTGCAGTTTAAAGCTACTGGTTGAACATTAATGCTGTGTACCTCTTTGTGAAATGGTTTGTGATTCATGTCAGTAAATGATCTATTCAGGCCCATGTGTGAAACATTTTTCAATCTTCAGTGTTAGATTGTTAATGCATTTCTAATGACTAAATGATTCCACATGTTATTTAATAGTTTCTATGTCTTCAGTGTTAATCTACAATATAGACTGTAGCTCTGAAAGACACAACAGTGTTTAGGATTTGGAAAGCAAAAGTGCATCATTGACAACGAACTCAAGCAAGTCCAGTTGCTACGATTAATCTCCCAGAATGACCACGACCTGGATGACTGAGAATCTTCACAGACATCATAGAAACATCCCACATGTGTCTGACAGTGATGAGATAGGTTGTTCACCACAATGATCTCCTTGCTTTGTAAAGTACTGTTAACAGAACCGGTAACGTTGGAGCTTAGTGGTCCTCTGGTTTTTAAACATTTCGGCCTGGGGTTGGTTTAATGCTTGGGCTCGGTACCCATTCCTACTTAGGAGCC